GGGTCGCAGGAAACCCCCCAACCCCATCGCAGCGGCACAGCTAAGTCACAAAAGCGCCGCCCAGGCGGGTGGGCGTGGCCCCGGGCTGGGCGTGGTCAGGGTGGGCGTGGCTTCCTCGTGCCCCGCCCCGCGCCTGCGCAGTCCCGCCCGCGCCTCCCAGCTCCTTTCCCACGCTCTCCCCCTGGGAAGCGCTGCCGGCCGGAGTCCTGGGGCGCCGGGGATCGGGGGGAGGCGACCCTCGTTGACCCGCAGCTCAGCCGTTGCTGACACTCTCCTCCCCAGCCACGCCGGCCGGAGGGAATTGCTCGGGAAAGGCCATGCCATTGGGAGGGCCGCGGCTGCCCGCTGTGACGGTTAGTTGGGCTGGGGCTGCAACCCGGGGCGTGCACGTGCCAAGCAGGGATTCCGCCAGGATCACTTTTTTGGGGGGAGAGATTGTGTTTTGGGGTGGTGATCAGGGCTTATTGCCAGCCCTGGGCTCAGGCATCATTCCTGGGGGACCGCATGGGCATCCAACCTGGGCCCGCTTGCATGCTAGTAACCTGTTGCCCTTTTTCTCCAGAAATCGCATTTTTAAAGACAGAAATCAGATTTTTTTTTTAAGAGTATGGATGGTTGACATGATTTGTTGTCACTGGGGTGTATGATCTTGAGAAGTAGCTCCCTCTGCAAATAGATGCCCAAGCATGTATGTGGGTTCCTGTACACGGGGTCCCACTCGTCCATGCCAAGCGGGGCCTGGCACGTTTCGGGATGGGGTTCAAGGACACGGCCAATGCCCTTCACGGCCTAAAAAAAATAAATAAATAAAAAACCTGCTTTTAAGTTTATCATGCTAAGGCACAGGTTAGGAGCAAGAACCTGCAAGAATTCAGATGAGATGGTTTGGGAGCCTAAATCATTTAAATCATTTAATATCAAATAATTTAAATATTGCCATTCTCCATAAAATGGGAACAGCCACAAGCAATCTGTCTTTGCTGTTTAAAAAAAGAAAAAAGCGGCTGAGAGAGGCCCCCCCGGAGATAATACAGTGGGAATAGCCACTGAGTCCTGCTGAGTGGGGCCCCCAAAGAAAGCCAAGCAGGAAATTCTACTGCGGATCCGTGTTGATGTCATTCACCCCTAAGACCCCCCACACACACCTGGACCCTTTTTTGGTTCTGCTTCAGGGGGCACATCCCTGCTTGAGCTGTTACCTATTTTTAAAAATCTAGAAAAAAATAAAAAATATCTAGAAATGCAACCACGGGGCGTTGCAGGCAGCAGGAGAGCTTGCCCAGTGTTGGGGGACAGGCGCTGGCGGGGGGCGGCGCGTGCGATTGTTTGGCGGTCTCCATGGAAACCACCCGCCGCCCCGGTGACCCCCGGGCTCGGGTCGGGGCTGCGTCTGCCGCACTGCGCCTGCGCGGAGGTCCCGCGCCTGCGCAGAAGCGCCGCGCCGCGCCGGCCGGGAGACGCCGTTGCCATGGCAGCGCGATCGGGGATGCTGCTGCCGCCGCCGCCGCCGCGGGCACCTGGCGCTCGCGGCTCCGAGCCTGGGGGAGCCGGGAGGACCCCAGAAGCCCCGCGGCTGCAGCTCGGACAGGCAGGAGGGGCTGGAAAGACCTGGAAAGGCCTGGAAAGGGGCCTAGGGAGACGCTGAGGCCCTGTCACGGCGCCAGATGCGATCACCTGGGTGGGGGGGATGTCTTGGGGGGCAGCAGGGTGGGCTGGGGAGGGAAGGAAGTGCCGGCCGAGTTCCCCCCGAGACGGGCACCCAGGTTCGAGCCCCTCCTCTTTGGGGGGGTCCCAGACTTGTACCCACCCAAGCTAACAGCCTCCCTGCAGAGCCCCCCCCCCCCACCGGTCCCCCCCATGCAGGGGGCTCGGGCTCAGGGGTCACCTCCCGGCTGCTGTCGTTAAGGGTCCCCTGGGCTCAGTCTTTGGGTCTTTCCTTCACCCCGGGGCCAGCGCTGGGGTGCAGGGCGGTGGGGAATCGTCCGGGCTGCACCTCCTTCTGGAAGGTTCCTGCAGCTTGCAGCCGCCTGGCCCTGGGGGTGTTGCAGAGGCCTTGGGGAGGAAGAGATTCATTTCCGCCCAGAGCTCCAGTGCCTGGCAAGGAAATGCAGTGAAATGCACAGAAAATGCACTGGAGGAAGGGGGTCCTGCACCGGGGTGGTCCAGGCAATTTTGTTGCAAATGGTACTGATACTTTGTAACTCGTTGGTCCTCTGGGGAGGAGGATTGACAGCCCCCCAAAGGAGTTGGCTCTCCCAGGTTCTGTTGGGAAGCTGCTTTAAGGGACGGGGCAAGGAGACTTTTAGGATTGGTGGATTTGGTTTACTCGGGGACCAGCTGTGCATGTAGATGTTGGAACTTTCAATTCCATTATATCTGGTTATCACTGTACCGCTGTCATCCTGTTGTTCATCGATTTCCTCGAGCACGCACCAGTAACGTCTCCTTCGTCCTAGCCCTGAGATTTTAGAAAGTGCCACATTCGAGGCTCTTTCAGGGTCAGGAGAATGAGACCCATCATTGTTACTGGTTTTTGGCATTTTAAAAAGCCACGGGGAGTTTGCCAGACTCTGCCGTGTGGGCAGGATACTCTCGGTTGTGTGCCAGTTTCTCCCATTGTATTTACTTTTTTTTTTCTTTGCTTTTTGGGTCATACTCGGCAATGCACAGAGGTTATTCCTGGCTCGTGAACTCAGGAATTACTCCTGGCGGTGCTCGGAGGACTATATGGGATGCTGGCTTATATGACTTCTATTCAGGAATCTATTGAAACGATTGCTTCACACACCCTGCAGGTTACTTATTTAATAACACCTATGGTGGGGGGAGTTTCATGTGTGATCAGGTTTTAGTTGTGTTGATTCGGTTTGTGGACTTCAGTGAGTTTTCCTGCAAGCCAGCTGCTAAGTAAGAAAGCATGTAAGCTCAAAACTGTTTCTTCTAAGGTCCATGGCAAGCGCCGGTAGGGTCATAGAAATCGGCTAGCAGTTAATGCTACTTATCCGTCTTAAAATAACCCATCTCGGTCTAAAGAAAATGGATTATCCTCGGGCATTTGTGATGGGGGCAGGGACAGTTACTCCTGCAAGCATTTCAGATCTGGGAGATTTAGATTTTCCATCTCACTCATACTAGGTAAAGTAGACTTAGTAGCTGGGAGTGGCAAGTTTTCACCACCAGTTCTGCAGAAGATTCCTGAAGGTCAGCAAACAAACAACAAACAAAAACACCAAAAACCGTTATTTCTGCTTAGGACATGATTTTTCTTTCACAATACCGATTTTAAAACTAATATACAAAATACTATGATAGTTTGGGCTGGAGCGATAGCACAGCGGTAGGGCGTTTGCCTTGCACGCAGCTGGCCCGGCTGAGCCGGGTTCGATTCCTCCGCCCCTCTTGGAGAACCCGGCAAGCTACCGAGAGTATCTCGCCCGCATGGCAAAGCCTGGCAAGCTCCCTGTGACGTATTCAATATGCCAAACACAGTAACAGTTGTCACAATGGAGACGTTACTGGGTCCGTTTGAGCAAATCGATGAACAACGGGAAGACAGTGACAGTGACTGTGATAGTTTGCTTCTGCCGTCGTTGTTGATGACATCTCTCCTGTTTTCACTGGGTCAATATGAAAACCAGTGGTTTATAGGCTTTAGCCCAAGAGTGACCCCAATATGTGTATATATATATATATATATATATATATACACATACATACATACATGTAGCACTGTCCTCCCATTGCTCATCGATTTGCTCGAGCGGGCACCAGTAATGTCTCTATTGTGAGACTTGTTGTTACTGTCTTTGGCATATTGAATACATCACGGGGCGTTTTCCAGGCTCTGCCGTGCAGGCGGGATACTCTCGGTAGCTTGCTGGGCTCCAAGAGAGACGGAGGAATCGAACCCGGGTCGGCCGCATACAAGGCAAACACCCTACCCACTGTGCTGTCACTCCAGCCCCCCCCCCCCACACACACACATATTGGTGTGGGGGCCACACCTGACAGTGCTCAGGGATCACTCTTGGGCTAAATCATCAAAGGAAAAGATGAATTTTACCTGAAACACATTTTAGTTTCCTGACGTCTGCTTTTTGTCTTAAGGGCCATACCCAGCGGTGCTCAGGGCTTATTCCTGGCTCTGCACTCTGGGATCACTCCTGGCGGGGCTCAGGGGTACCAGGATGTGCTCTGAGCACCTAGAAAAGCAAATCAGGCGACATGAATAAGCTTCCGTAGAAAGGCTGGCCCTCCTTTTTAATCTTGCGAATCCAGGTGCCAGGAGGTGCTTGTGTGAAGGGGAGATGAGGGGGTGGGTACGGGGTGGACCGGAGTGTCCTCTGAGCAAATGCATTCAGCACATGCAGAACCTTACTGTCATTTTGGGGGGGGTTTGTTTTTGGGGTTTTGTTTTGTTTTTTGCTTTTTGGGTCCCACCCGGCGATGCTTAAGGCTTCCTCCTGGCTCTGCACTCAGGAACTACTCCTGGCGGTGCTTGGAGGACCCTATGGGATGTCAGGGATCGAACCCAGGTTGGCCGCGTACAAGGAAAATGCCCTCTCCGTTGTGCTATTGCTCCAGCCCCTCCAATGAGTGCTTTTAAGGGGGTCTTCCAGGGCACTGGGGGCTCTAGCTGGGCCCCATCACTTGGGGTGCAGTTCACAGCCTTCTGAGGTTGGTTTTGGTTGGTTGGTTGGTTTTGCTTTTGGGTCACACCCGGTGATGCTCAGGGGTTCCTCCTGGCTCTGCACTCAGGAATCACTCCTGGCGGTGCTCAGGGGACCCTAGGGGATGCCGGGGATCGAACCTGGGTCGGGTGCATGCAAAGTAAACGCCCTCCCCGCTGTGCTATCGCTCAGCGCCCAACTCTGCCCTGTGTGAACCTGCGATGCTTCCTGGGCCCTCTCGGGCTTTGCCTGGGCATCTCTGAGCTCCAGGGGCTGACTTCTGGTCTTCCTCTCTTCCCACCTTCCAGCCTTCCTCTTGAGCAACCGACAATGAATGACAATACGGAAACGGACTCCAAAGAGAGTGGCGAGTATGAAGACGACTTTGAGAAAGATCTGGAATGGCTGATTAACGAGAAAGATCCCAGTGAAAACGGCGGGGCAGAGGCAGAGGAGGACTGTGTGAGCTACGGAGCGGGCGAGGGGCTGGCAAGCGCTTAGCGTTTCGGAAGCGATCCCTGAACCGCACATCCCTAGGCGAGGCAGTGACCAGTGTTCCCAGCACCGTCCCAGAGATGAGAAAACTAACGTGTAAATGGGGGTATCCCAAAGCACAGGGCTGATTGGTGTGAGAGCTGGGGATAAGATAGCGCTTTCAATAAAGCCAGGAGCAGGGGCTGGAGCAATAGCACAGCGGGGAGGGCGTTGGCCTTGCATGAGGCCAACCCGGGCTTGATCCCCAGCATCCCATAGCGTCCCTGAGCACCGCCAGGAGTAACCCCTGTGCACTGCCGGGTGTGACCCATAAATCAAATAACAACAACAACAAAAAAAGCAGACACTGGGATTGTAAGAGATTATAGCATCAAGGGCTGGAGTGATAGCACAGCGGTAAGGCGTTTGCCTTGTGCACAGCCAGACCGGCCGAGCTGGGTTCGATTCCTCCGCCCCTCTCGGAGGGCCTGGCAAGCTATCGAGAGTATCTTGCCCATACGGCAAAACCTGGCAAGCTCCCCGTGATGTATTGAATATGCCAAACACAGTAACAACAAGTCTCATGATGGAGACGTTACTGGGCCCGCTCGAGCAAATCGATGAACAACGGGAGGACCGTGTTTTTTATGGCATCAAAAGCAAAACCCAGATGATTTCTGCTCTCTCTAGACTCAGGTGAAAATCATAGGTTATGCTTTCAATGGAAATGAAACATAAGGCAAAGGCTTCCGAAATATAGTGTTTCCACCCACTGGGGACCAACAGACACTGATTAGCATGTGAGGGGAACAGGTGGAAAAGGAACGTATCGAAGACTGGGCTGTAGGCATGCGCTTAGGAAAAAGTAGGTCTATTAAATATGATTAAGTAGGATCACTTATTGTCACGTGGAAGGTCACATTGGCATGGTGGTATTTGTTACTTTTATTTTGTTACCTTTTTCATGCATTAACATAAAAATTGCCGGTCTGTTGGGGCCAGAGTGATAGCACAGCGGGGAGGGTGTTGGCCTTGTACGCGGCCGACCCGGGTTCGATCCCCAGCATCCCTTATGGTCCCCTGAGCACCACTAGGAATGATTCCTGAGTGCAGAGCCAGGAGTGACCCCTGAGCATCACTGGGTGTGATTCAAAAAGTCAAAAAAAAAGATTGTCAGTATAATAATTGTCTTAGCAATAGTCAGTTCAAAAATAGTCATAGCCCACTCCCAACGCCCAAGTTGTGTGGCTCTGGGTAATTCCCTTGGGGGGCATGAAGTCAGAGTTATTATGGGGGCCATGAGAATCCGAGTTGTTATGGGAGGTTGGGAATCTGATTATTATGGGGGGTTGGGAATCGATTATGGGGAGTTAGGAATCTGATTACTATGGGGGGTTGGGAATCTGAGTTATTATGGGGGTTTGGAAATCTGATTATTATGGGGGGTTGGGAATCTGATTATTATGTGTGTTGGGAATCTGATTATTATGTGGGTTGGAAATCTGATTACTATGGGGGGCTGGGACTCTATTATGGGGGGTTGGGAATCTGTGTTATTATGGGGGGTTGGGAATCTGATTACTATGGGGGGTTGGGAATCTGAATTGTTATGGGAAGCTGGGACTCTATTATGGGGGGTTGGGAATCTGAGTTATTATGGGGGGTTGGAAATCTGATTACTATGGGGGGTTGGGAATCTGAATTGTTATGGGAAGCTGGGACTCTATTATGGGGGGTTGGGAATCTGAGTTATTATGGGGGGTTGGAAATCTGATTACTATGGGGGGTTGGGAATCTGAATTGTTATGGGAAGCTGGGAATCTATTATGGGGGGTTGGGAATCTGATTATTATGGGGGGTTGGGAATCTGAGTTATTATGGGGGTTTGGAAATCTGATTATTATGGGGGGTTGGGAATCTGAGTTATTATGGGGGGTTGGGAATCTGATTACTGTGGGGGGTTGGGAATCTGAATTGTTATGGGAAGCTGAGAATCTATTATGGGGGGTTGGGAATCTGAGTTATTATGGGGGGTTGGGAATCTGATTATTATGGGGGGTTGGGAATCTGAGTTATTATGGGGGGTTGGAAATCTGATTACTGTGGGGGGTTGGGAATCTGAGTTATTATGGGAAGTTGGGAATCTATTATGGGGGTTGGGAATCTGAGTTATTATGGGGGGTTGGGAATCTGATTACTGTGGGGGGTTGGGAATCTGAGTTATGGGGGTTTGGAAATCTGATTATTATGGGGGGTTGGGAATCTGAGTTATTATGGGGGGTTGGGAATCTGATTACTGTGGGGGGTTGGGAATCTGAATTGTTATGGGAAGCTGAGAATCTATTATGGGGGGTTGGGAATCTGAGTTATTATGGGGGGTTGGGAATCTGATTATTATGGGGGGTTGGGAATCTGAGTTATTATGGGGGGTTGGAAATCTGATTACTATGGGGGGGTGGGAATCTGAATTGTTATGGGAAGCTGGGAATCTATTATGGGGGGTTGGGAATCTGAGTTATTATGGGGGTTGGGAATCTGATTACTATGGGGGGTTGGGAATCTGATTATTATAGGGGGTTGGGAATCTGAGTTTTGCACGTGCTGCCTGGGGTGTCCACTCATGAAGCCAGTGGCCGGGCAGGCCTGTTTTGGGCTGCCCGCGTCTTCCGGCACGGGAAACCTGGGCTCTCCCCGCAGAGGCGAAGACCATCTCTCCTTCCCGCCCCCAGGTCACCCGTGGGGCTGAGCCCCCTGGGGCCCCCCAGGATGCGGAGCCCCTGGCCGCCCCGCCCAGGGACGATGGCCCCGCCCGGAGGAATGACTTCATCTCGGTGCCCAGCATCCAGCCCCTGGAGGCCGCGTCCGACTCGGACAGCGAGACCTCGTCGCAGGAGTCGCGGCTGGACGAGGCCGAGGACGAGGAGGTCCGGCGCTACATCATGGAGAAGATCGTCCAGGCCAACCAGCTGCTGCTGCGCCAGCAGCCCGTGCATGAGAAGCGGGACCGGCGGCTCAAGTTCAAGGACAAGCTGGTGGACCTGGAGGTGCCCCCGCCCGAGGACGCGGAGGCCGCCCAGACGGCCAGCGAGGACTCGGTGTCCGGCCAGATGTCGCGGCTGTGCCTCTCGGGCGAGCCGGACCAGGCCCAGGTGCCACTGGTCTTGCCCGAGGAGGCCGGGCCTGAGGAGGCCAAGGAGGGGAAGGTCCTGGTGGAACGTGACGGCAAGTTCGAGCTGCTCAACTTCCAGGACCTGGAGAGCCAAGGGCTGCCCGTCCCAGCCTGCCCGGCACCCGGCGCCGACGGCGACTTCCCCCAGGCCGGCTCCCGCCTAGCCAGCCCCGCCGGCAGCAGCGGTGGCGGTGGCGACCCGGGGAAGAAAGAGGCCTCAGGGGGGACTCCAGGCCCAGTGCTCTCTCCCCCCGAGAAACCACAGCCTGACACCCCACCGCCGCAGGCGGCCCCCGGCCTCCGGCTGAGGCCGGCCTCCACCGCGTCCTCCGACCCCTGGAAGGGTGCTGGGAGACTCCACCCGCGGGCCCAGTCGGCGCACTTGTCGCCGGCCTCCTCCACCTACTGCCTCTCCCCTCAGCAGAAGGAGCTGCAGAAGAGGCTGGAGCAGAAGCGGGCGAAGCTCAGGTTGGAGGTGAGGGTGCCCCCCCACCCCCCACCCGGGAACGGGGCCTGGCGGGCTCTGGGGGAGGGACGGAGGCTCTTCCCGGCAGCGGGTCAGGCCAGATGCATTTTCTTCCTTCGCTGGATTGAGTGTTTCAAAGACTCGATGCCAGAGCAGGGAGGGTGTTGTTGGCCTGGCATGCAGTCGACCTGGGTTCGATCCCCGGCATCCCATAGGGTCCTTCCGAGCCCCCCCAGGAGTGATTCCTGAGTGCAGAGCCAGGAGGAACTCCTGTGCATTGCTGGATGTGACCCAAAAAGCAAAAAAAAAAAAAAAGATTCTGTGTTACGGAAGAGAATCCTCCGTCTGCTGGTCTGCCAACCCGATGCCAGGAGAGGCAGATTATCCCTTGCCTGGCTCTCTTGCCTTCTGGGCTGTGCTCACAGCAACATCTCTGCTTTTGTTTGGGGCCTCCGTGGTGGTGCTCAGGGCACCACCAGAGCCAGGAGTTATTGGGGAACCGTTTTCTCCCAGCATGCCCGGACACGGGTCTGGGCAGACGCGGAACAAAGGTTGATGGTTGCGCAGAGAAGTCACTCCAGGAGACAGCTTGATGGCCGCTCACTTTATTGCCAGATGTATACATATTTTATAGAGGGTCTCGGCTTAAGGGGATGGTCCAGTCACATAAAGTTTAGCACCACTGACTGTCACCTTTCCAACTCTGCTTTGTCCCGGCCCAGTCCCATTAGGGCGGGATGCTGCAGTTAGGCAGGACTCGCCAAGCATAGGGGACAATTCTTGAGGGGATTGGGTGAGACTCAAGGCCGGATACCTGGCGCTTGTCAGATGCACCCAGACACGCCCTGCTGGGTTGCTGTGCAGGGACAGGTCTCATCTGCTCTGGTACCTGTTGAAATGCTCCACAAGGAGTAATCCCTGAATATCGCTGGGTGTGACCCAAAAAAGCTAAGAAAAAAAAGAAGGACTCAGAGCTCAGGGAAGATTCTGTGTTACAGAGGGCTGGAGTGCTAGCACAGCGGGGAGGGCGTCTGCCTTGCACGCGGCTGACCCAGGTTCGATTCCCAGCATCCCATAGGGTCCCCCGAGCACTGCCAGGAGTGAGTCCTGAGTGCAGAGCCAGGAGGAAACCCTGAGCATCGCCAGGTGTGACCCGAAAAGCAAAGAAAAAAAAAAAAGATTCTGTGTTACGGAAGAGAATCCTCCGTCTGCTGGTCTGCCAACCCGATGCCAGGAGGGGCAGATTATCCCTTGCCTGGCTCTCTTGCCTCTGGGCTGTGCTCACAGCAACGTCTCTGCTTTCGTTTGGGGCCTCCGTGGCGGTCCTCAGGGCCATCCAGTGCTGGGGGGGGCATCGCGAGGGGGCGGGGTGGGAGGGGGCGCCTAGTCTGACGCCGGCAAACCCCCCCCCCCGGGATCCCTTGCGCTGTGCCCTCAAGTTTCTTATCTGTGCCTGTTCCCCCCACCCCCAACCCCTCCCGCCAGGAGGAACAGAAGAAACTAGAGGAAGAGAAAGAGAAGAAGAAGGAGAACGACCTGGTGTTTAAGGCCTGGCTGCAGAAGAAGAGGGAGCAGGTGCTAGAGATGCGGCGGGTCCAACGGGCCAAGCAGATCGAAGACCTGCACAGCAGGGTGAGGCGGGCTCGGGGCTTCCCCATCCAGCCAGCCAGCCAGACAGGCGGATGCTCAGACGGGGGACACTGAGACTTAACCCTGCACCTGCTGATGCCCTCCCTGCTGTATCCCGGAATGACACCCAGACATGCGCTCCTGCCTGGCCCCCCCCATTTCCTTCTCCCCTGCATCTCCCTGTTTCCCTCGGACCCCGTGCTCTGCCATGTCCCCATTCATCTTTACTTGGGGGCTCAGGGGTCCCTCCTGGTGGTGCTCGCAGGAGGCTGAACCAGGGTCCGCTGCAGACTCAGTGCTTGGCCCCCCCGCCCCCCCCCGTGACCCTGTGCATGGCCTTGGCGCCATCTCGGGGTCGGTCGTGGCCGGGAGGTGACGGCCGGGAGCCCCCACGAGGCAGGGCTGAGGGTCAACTCGGCCCCCCTCCGTTTGGCGTGCACAGCAGGAAAACCGGGACCCGCAGCAGGCCTTCCGACTGTGGCTGAAGAAGAAGCACGAGGAGCAGCTGAGGGAGAGGAGGACGGAGGAGATCCGAAAGCAGGAGGAGTGCCTGTACTTCCTGAAGGGGACCGAGGGCAGAGAGCGCGCCTTCCGGCAGTGAGTGTCCCCAGGCCCCTCCGGTCGCCTTGACCTTTTTTCTTTTCCGCTCTTTGGCGATGCACAGGGGTTCCTCCTGGCTCTGCACTCAGGAATCGCTCCTGGTTGTGCTCGGGGGACCCTATGGGATGCCGGGAATCGAACCTGGGTCAGGCGCATGCAAGGCAAACGCCCCCCCTCCCCCGCTGAGCGATAGCTCCAGCCCCAATCTTTTTTTTTAATTGAATCACCATGAGATGCAGTTACAAAACTTTCATGTTTGAGTGTCAGTCATGCAATGATGGGACACCCAAGCCTCCACCAGTGCACGTTCCCCACCACCAATGTCCCCAGTATCACCACCCATCCCACCCCACCCCCCTGCCTCCATGGCAGACAATTTTCCCCATACTCTCTCTTTTTTTTTTTTTCTTTTTTTGCTCTTTGGGTCACACCCGGCGATGCTCAGAGCTGACTCCTGGCTCTGCACTCAGGAATCACCCCTGGCAGTGCTCAGGGGACTCTATGGGATGCTGGGAATCGAACCTGGGTTGGCCGTGTGCAAGGCAAACGCCCCCCCCCCCCCCCCCCCCGCTGAGCGATAGCTCCAGCCCCAATCTTTTTTTTTTTTAATTGAATCACCATGAGATGCAGTTACAAAACTTTCATGTTTGAGTGTCAGTCATGCAATGATGGGACACCCAAGCCTCCACCAGTGCACGTTCCCCACCACCAATGTCCCCAGTATCACCGCCCATCGCACCCCTCCCCCTGCCCATCGCACCCCTCCCCCTGCCTCCATGGCAGACAATTTTCCCCATACACTCTCTCTCCTTTTTTTTTTTTTTTTTTTTTTTTTTTGCTCTTTGGGTCACACCCGGCGATGCTCAGAGCTGACTCCTGGCTCTGCACTCAGGAATCACCCCTGGCAGTGCTCAGGGGACTCTATGGGATGCTGGGAATCGAACCCGGGTTGGCCGTGTGCAAGGCAAACGCCCTCCCTGCTGTGCTATCACTCCAGCCCCAATCTTTTCTTTTTTTTTTTTTTTTAATTGAATCACCGTGAGATACATTTACAAAACGTTCATGCTTGAGCTTCAGTCATGCGATGATGGAACCCCCATCCCTCCACCAGGACACATTCTCCACCACCATTCAAGCCTGCCTGCCAGGAGCAGACGCTCGATAATTTATTTTCTGTTGCTTATTATGAATATCACCGGCAAGCTACCGAGAGTATTCGATATGCCAGACACAGTAACAACAAAGTCTCCAATGGAGATGTTACTGGGCCCGCTCGAGCAAATCGACGATCAACGGGAGGGCCTTTACCTTTACCTTATGAATATCATGAGAGGTCACTTTGGGATTCTAAAATTGCAAATGGTTGGGGCCCAGAGACAGCTCTGTGGGGAGCTAATTCATTTTGAGATTCATTTGGGAGTCTCCTGTTCAAGGCCGTTGAATGGGCTGAGATGGCGCCTGGACGCAGATCGTGGGCATGACAGCCAGGACCCTGAGTGGGCAGGGAGACGGGGAGTGACGGCCAGTTTCCGCCACTGCTATGTGGCCTGAAGTCTCAGTCCTGGAACTCACAGACCTGGGTTTTGCTTCTGGAAGCTCATGGCCATCGGGGGTTCATCTGGGCACACCCGCTCCATTGCCCTGGTGAATTGGTTTGGTACAGGGTCCAGAAAGATCTCCGATGAGCTGCTGTCTTCCTGGATTCACTGCTGTGTCTCTGGACCAAGGCCCTTGATCCATCCGCCTTGATCTTTTGAAGTGGGGTGGGGGGCGGTGGGCATTGAGTTGGTTTTGTTGTTGTTGTGTCTTGTTTTGTTGTTTTTCCTTTTTGGGCCACATCTGGAGATGCTCAGGGATTCCTCCTGGCTCTGCACTCAGGGAACACTCCTGGCAGTGCTCAAGGGACCCTATGGGATGCCGGGGGTTGAACCCAGGTCCTCCACGTGCAAGGCAAACAAACGTTCTGTACTATCAGCTGTATATCCGCTGTACTATCCCTCTGCCCTTTTAGTCTGTTGTTGTTGTTTGTTTGTTTTTTTTTTTTGAGTCACACCTGGTGATGCTCAGGATCACACCTGGCGATTCTTTTCAGGTCACACCTGGCGATGCTCAGGGGTCACTCCCGGCTCTCGGGACTGGGTGAACGATGTGAAGGGCCAGCTCTTTCCAGCCCCTCCCCTCTGTATTTTTTTTTTTAATGTAACCCTTTGTTGGTGTTCGTTGTAGAAGTCCCATTTTCTTTTTTTTTTTTTTTTTTACTTTTTGGGTCACACCCTGTGATGCACAGGGGTCCCTCCTGGCTCTGCACTCAGGTATTACTCCTGGCGGTGCTCAGGGGACCCTATGGGATGCTGGGGATCGAACCCGGGTCAACATCGTGCAAGGCAAACGTCCTACCCGCTGTGCTATCGCTCCAGCCCCAGAAGTCTCATTTTCATCATGAAAAAAATCACTACTTCAGCGATGTTCTTAGTTCTCTGCACTTATTTGTGATTTTTAAGTATAAACCAGAATCATATCGTGTGTGTGTGTGTGTGTGTGTGTGTGTGTGTGTGTGTGTGTTTCCCCCTGCAGTGTGCTTTATTTTGAGGGACAGATCTGGATTGAACCAAGGCCGCAGCATGCAAGACAAGGGCTGTCAGCCAGTCGGCCTTCTCTTCACCACAGCCCCAGTGATCTGCAGTTTCTAGGTGTCTCTCCGCACACCCGACCCACCAACTGACTAGGATTCATCTGCTCATAGCCAACTTAATACCCCATGACACCAAGTTGTGTTGTGAAATACTCAAGTCTCTGTTTCCTAGCAGTTATGTAGTGTAGGGTCATTTCAGGAGGCGGTGTGTGTATGTGTGTGTGTGTGTGGGGGCGGGGGGTGGGCAGTGGAAATCATGTAAACAACACACGTGTGTACTTAGCAGTTGTGTACACATATTCATTTGTTTGGATTGGACCCTATTGTTACTTTTTGGTGTATTTTGCCTAGACCAACTTTATAGTCTTAAGAAAGAATTCTTTTTTTTTTTTAATGCTTTGGTTGGGGCTGGAGCAATAGCACAGCGGGGAGGGCGTTTTGCCTTGCACGCGGCCGACCCGGGTTCGATTCCCAGCATCCCATAGGGTCCCCCGAGCACTGCCAAGGGTATAAATAAATAAAATGCTTTGGTTTACTTTTCCATTGTAAGGGAAGAACTGTTTTGTGTAGAAAGCAAAGCAAGCACACTATCAATTTCTTTACCAAAATAAACCACACAAAATTTCTGCATGCTGGCATCCTTAAACCGGTTCAACAATGTTTTACAATACAGGAAAACTAACCAGAAAAATCTAGTTTTTTCGGAATTTCTCAAATACTCATTTTCTCAGAAAACTTACTATTTTTAAATTTTTTGTTGTTTGAATTTGGGAATCACACCTGGCGATGCTCAGGGGTTCCTCCTGACTTTGCATTCAGGAATTACATCTGGCGGTGCTCGGGGGACCCCATGGAATGCTGGAATCAAACTTGGGTTGGCCTCATGCAAGGAAAACGCCCTTCCCACTGGACTATCACTCCGGCCCAGAAAACTATTTTTAAAACTTTCCCTGCATCCCAGGCAATCGGTCTTGTCTGAGACAAATCCTAACTCTGTTGGCAGTTTAATCAGACAAACTTCATTCCCAACATCAGGTTCCGAATGTAACCCCTGTTTTTGTGTGAGCCTAAAATATAAGCCTGAGCTTTTCCAGTTGATTTTTGCCCTTTTTTTTTGCATCACACCCGGTGATGCTCAGGGCTGACTCCTGGCTCTGCACTCAGGAATTACTCCTGGCCGTGCTCGGGGGACCCTAGGAGATGCCAGGGATCAAATCTGGATCGGCTGTGTGCAAGGCCAACGCCCTCCCCGCCGTGCTCCAGCCCCTCCAGTTGAATTTCAGTTTCTATTTGGACCCTCTCCGTTGCCGGAGACACTCAAGGCCAAGAGCTTCTTGCCGGCCCCTAACGGCAGCTGGAGGGAGGGTCTGTCCTGGCTTCTCCTGACCTGGGGGGTGTCTCTCCTCCCCAGATGGCTCAGAAGAAAACAGGTAGAAAAACTCGCGGAGCAACAGATGGCCAAAGAGAGAACGAGGCAGCTCCGGCAAGAGGCGAAACGGCTGAAGCAACGCCAGAACGCCTACATGGCGGAAGCCAAGGCGTTTCGCTTTACGGACCCTTACAAGTGAAGGTAACCATTAAACACCTCATTTGGACGCCGCTGTCCTCGGAACGGGGGTCTCATTTCTTCTGGCCAGGGGTGTCGGTCACGATCGAAATGATGGAAAGTGTCGCGATATTTTGGTGATGTTGACAGTATATTTAGCTTTTTTTTTCCTCTCCCCCCAAACACTAGAGCTGAATAAATTTCTTCTCACACTTCGGGAATGTGTAATTCGTTCCATCTCTTAGCCCGTGCGATGAATCGAAAGACATCGGGACACTACTGTCCTCTTGCCTTTTAAAATTTTTCTAACGGGCTGGAGCGATAGCACAGCGGGGAGGGCTTTGGTTTTGCACGCAGCTGACCCGGGTTCGATTCCCAGCATCCCATAGGGTTGGGATGTGATTCCTGAGTGCATGAGCCAGGAGTAACCCCTGTGCAACGCCAGGTGTGACCCAAAAAGCAAAAAAAATTAAAAAATTTTCTAACAAAGGGGAGCAGATATTCTTAGTTTTTTTTTTTTCGGGGTGGGGGGTGGGGAACACACCTGGCTGTGCTCAGGACTTACTCCTGGTTCTGTGCTCATGGTTCACCCCAGTGGGGCTCAAATCGGGCCAGCTGTGTGCAAGGCAAATAGCCTTCTTGTCCTCTTATTCTGGCCCCTTCACCCACCCTACATTTTTCATCAAAGTAATTTAAGGGAAAGGTAGAGGAATCAATGTGCAGGGGAATAATAGGAACCCGAACGGGAAGTACCTCTTTCTGAGCTAAACAAACGCCATCCAAAAGATGTGCTGAAAATAAAGTAGTGAAATTTATTGCCGAGAAATTTATTGCCACTTGAAACTATAAATATAACTTAGATGGAATCAAACACAAATGTTCTTGACGTTAAAATACATCATTTTTGACGACATCTGACTTTCAAAGACTTTGCGGTGGCTAGACATTTCCACAAATATAATTCATATACTTTGGTACATTTTGTGGATATCTTTAAAGACCTACAAAAGGGTATTTAATAGCCCATAATAATATATATTCTACAATATAAATTACTGGATTACGCCTGTCATTGAGTTCATACAGTATTTTTCGAAAGATCCTGCTTTCCCCGTGTTTTATAAATATGAAACGGAATATTCCTGTAATGCTCGATTTGCCAAAATGAGCTTAGTCGTTAGAACCTTGTTCGAAGTTGAATCCATTCAAAACGTGGATCCCTGCACCAGACCCGACATGCGGGTGAATGTCTGCTGTTTAGGTGCTGCAGTACAGTTTTCGTTTTTGGGGGGGCCACAGCCAGGGGTGCTCAGGCCGAGTTCCTGACTGCGCGCCCAGGGGTCACTCCTGGCCGGGGTCAAGCTGAGATTGTCTCCTGCTAGGCAAGAGCCTGACCCACCGCACTGTCCCTCCGGCCCCTGCAAATCAGTTTTAAGTCTGTCGTACAGCATTTAGGATGTGTCATCAACACTGCCCCACTGCCCGGAGGATTTCTGCAAACTTCCCCGGGAGCCCCCAAATCACCAAAAAGCTTGAAACTTCCCCCCAAAGGTCCTACCCTGAAGGGAGAAGGAACTAAAAATACTTTGTGTGGCAAGGGGTGTGTGTGTGTGTGTGTGTGTGTGTGTGTGTGTGTGTGTGTGTGAGATACCCAGATAATATCTGAAACTCTGGTGTGCGTATGACTAAATGCTTAGTGTAACAAGCCAGATAATATGTGTGTGTGTGTGTGTGTGTGTGTGTGTGGAGCGGAACTAAATGCTTTGTGTAGCGAGCCAGATCATATCTGAAACTGTGTGTGTGTGTGTGTGTGTGTAACTAAACGCTTTGTGTAGCAAATGAGATATCTGAAACTGTGTGTGTGTGTGTGTGTGTGTGTGTGTGCATGCTGGGGGTGAACTCCTGGCAGTCAGATAATATCTGAAACCGTATGTGTGTACTTGGTTCATACCCAGATAATATCTGAAACTCAGGGGTGTGTGTGTGTGTGTCTGTGTGCGCGCGCCGGGTGTTTGTGTGTTTGTGTGTGTGTGTGCACTGGGGGTCACCTCCTGGCAGCCTGGGGGACCAGATGCGGTGCCAAGGATGGAACCAGGGTCAGCTGCATGCAAGGCACATGCCTACACCTGGTCCTTCCTCCGCGGCCCCAAAGCCCTGCTGCGCCGACCTCACTGTACACGCACACGTGCACATGCACACCCATGAACGGGCGCGGGGGCGGGCGTGGCCCGGGTCAGAGCACCAGCAGGTCCCCGCGGCAGTGGGCGCAGCAGTTGAAGGTGATGTTCTCGTAGCGCGTGTAGGGGTGGAAGCGGCCGATGTTCTTGGTGGCCAGCAGGGCGGCAGGGGTCGGCTCCGGGAGCGGGCTGTGCGGGGGGCTTCCGGCGCGGCCGACGGGGTCCAGGTGGCGCAGAACCTGCGGGACGGGCAGGGGACACGCGTCACTCCCGCCGTCCCAGCACCGGGCGGGACCCCCGTTCCCACACTCCGCGCCGCTCGCCGGGAGGGGACCGTCACCGTCTCGGCCATCTTCTCGGCGGGGCTGCTGCAGAACTCCGCGGTGGCCGGACCCTTCTTGGGCTGCCCGGGGCCCACGTTGCCCAGCAGGTGGGCGCTGATGGCCCTGGCCAGGCCGTGGTTGGCGGCGGCCAGCTCGGCAGTGCTGTGCGGCGCGGGGCCCGGCTGGTACGTGGGCTCGCGCCCCCACTGCAGGGACACCAGGAGCTCCTCCAGCAGCCTGCGGGGACACGGCAGGGACGTCACGGGCGCCCCAGGGCCCCCCCCCCCCCCCGCCCTGCCACAGCCCCGGGGGCTTCCCACGGCCACGAGTCCCAGTTCCCGAGTGTCCGACCACAGGGGGCTCGGGAGACCCTCTGGGGTGCTGGGGCTCTGGGTGCTGTGGGCCCGGGCCTGTACCTGTGCGTGGCCGCCATCTCCTGCCGGAAGTGCTCCCGCTCGCTCAGGAGGTCCTGCAGTGCTCCCTGCGCATCCCGGGTCTGCCGCTGCAGCGTGGCCCTGGCGCCCGCCAGCTCGTCGGCCATGACCCTGCGGAGGCCCGGGAGATGCTGACCACACCGTCGCCCGCCCAGGTCAAGGGCCCGAGGACCCAGCCCTGCCACGGACCTGACTCTGCCTCCCCACTGACGAGCTTCTGTGTAAGTCTACAACTGGACCTCACGGTGTTTCACTAATAAAAACTGAAAAAGGAAAGAAGAAGAGAGGAACAGAGACGTGCTCTCGCACCACTCATCCGAGGGGAAAAAGAAAGTTGAAAATAAATGGAGCAGGAATTCACCAGCTGTCGCAAGGATTTGGGACGGGAGGCCCGGGGCGGGGGTACCTGCCAGAACATTCGGGATGAAGGCCCGGGGCGGGGGTACCTTCGGGATGGAAGGCCGGGGCGGGGGTATACCAGCTGGAACGTTCGGACGGGAGCCCGGGGTGAGGTGCCTGCTGGAGCACTGCGGGCGGGGAACCTGCCGGAGGTTTGGGGGCGGGGCCGGGCGGTACCTGCTGGCCAGGAACTTGCTGCGCCAAACGTCGCCCTGGATGGACAGCCGCTCCAGCTGCTCCGACAGCTGGCCCACGTGCCGGCCCACCGCCTCGTTCTCCAGCAGCAGCTGGTTCTTCTCCCGCGCCAGCCGCTCGAAGTGGTACTGCAGGTCGTCCCCGACCGACGCCACCAGCAGCTTCTTTAGCTCCCGGTTGACCTGGGGAAGCGGGAGGATGCGGCGGCGCCCGGGCGGGACACGGACAATGGCCCTGCGTGACCGCCGGGCAGACCGCCCGCCTCGCTCTGGCCGGCACCGCTTCCACGGGGCCTGAGGGCTACTCCTGGCTCAGTGCTCGGGGGTCACACCAGGCGTTCCCGGGGTCCTCTGGTCCCGTCGCCATCGCAGGCCCCCAACCAACACCGCAGAGACACAGCGTCAGAGATGACACCCGCGGCTGGCTCAAGCACGGGGGACTGACCACGGGCTCGCTCTGCTGTTTCGGGTGGACCAGAGGCCACCCCCAACAGTGCTCAGGGGCTACTCCTGGCTCTGTGCCAACTCCTGGCTCTGTGCTCAGGACCGACTCTTGGCTCTGTGCTCAGGAATGACTCCCAGCTCTGGGCTCAGGGCTCACTCCTGGTGGGGCACTTTCCCCGCCTGAGCTTTCACTCGGGTCTTTATGTTTTATAATTTTATTCAACATTTGAGATTTTGTTTCTGTGTGCCTTAGAATGTCTACTTTTCATCCCAAAAGGAGTTTGTGGTGCCTATACACACATCCTTCACACGGTTCCTGGAAGGCCGCTTTTTTTTTTTTTTTTTGGTCTTTTGCCCTCTGGGCCATACCCGGGATGCTCAGGGGTTCCTCCTGGCTCTGCACTCGGGAATCTCTCCTGGCGGTGCTTGGGGGACCCTATGGGATGCTGGGGATCGAACCCGGATCGGCCACATGCCAGGCCAGTGCTCTCCCCGCTGTGCGATCCCTCCGACCCCTGGAAGGCCGCTTTTGAGGAACCGTTACTAGCCACGGCCCAGGCCACTCGGTGTCTCGGGAAAACGCTGGCCAACAGCACCGTCCCCGCGAGGGAAGCGTTTTCTCGCCTGCAGGTGGTTCTTACCTCCGTCTGCACCCGGAGCTGGTTGGCGAGCCCTTCCCTGTCCTCTCTCAGCCTCCGCTCCGAGGCCTCGAGCTTTTCCAGATTATTCCTGACATCGGAGAGCTCCTTCCCCGGGGCCGCCGCCGTGCTCTCGGCCGGCGCCTCTCCCTTGTGGCGTCCGAGCGCGGGGACCTTGGCGCTGGCGGCGGACAGGTGGTGCGTGATGGCGGCTTTGGGGACCCGGATGCGGACGGCCTCCACCTCCAGGGCGCCCTCGGCCGGCACCTGACCCAGCTGCACGACCCCGGGGCTGTCAGCTGGACCCGGCCTCTTCCGGGGACTCGGGAGCCGGTGGCGCCTGGGGGCCGGGTCCCCCGGGGTCACTTCCAGCTTGGGGGCCTCCTCCGTTTCCATTCCATCTCCGGCTCCTCGGACGGGGGGCGAGGCCAGGGCGGCTGGTGGAGGAGAGAGAGACACACACCCAGCCCTGTGAGTGATGCCAGCCCTGCCCCCCCCCACACACAGTCCTTTGATGCCAGACCCAGCCAGCCACACACACACACACACACACACACACACACACACACAGAGTTCTGTGATGCCAGCCTCAGCTGGCCACACACACACACACACAGCCCCGTGAGTGATGCTAGCCCCAGTCCAGCCAGAAGAGGCCATTCTCACAGCCCCACGGCAAGACCCACGCGACAGTCACCCTCTGGGGTCCCTAGGGAAGGCACCCCGGCCTACCGGCGTCTGGAGCCCGAATTGCTACTGCTTGAACCGACTTCTGGCCAGAGGATGGACGTGGTAGGGGGCCAGGCGGCGGGTGGAGCTGCCTCACATGCCCTCGGGCCCCGCCCGCTGCCGGCCTGGCAACTTTGGGGGTGGGGGGGGGCCTCGACATTTGGCCCCGGTGACTTTCATGCTTCTACCTGGCCTTGTGACGCACTTAGAAACCTTTGTTACATCAGCACCAGCTGCCTTCCCGGGCACACGGACAGTTCTCTTCTCTGGGGGGCGGGAGAGGTTCCGGGGGGCGGGGGGGAGGGTCCGGGACCCAGGAATATGCACTTGGCACTACTCGTTAACTTTTTGCTTTTTGGGCCACACCCGGCGATGCTCAGGGCTGACTCCCGGCTCATGCACTCAGGAATCACTCCTGGCGGTGCTCGGGGGACCCTATGGGATGCTGGGGATCGAACCTGGGTCGGCCGCATGCAAGGCCAACGCCCTCCCCGCTGTGCTATTGCTCCAGCCCCAGCACTACTCACTCTTCACCCTTCCTGCACGGCTGCCAGCTACCCCTGATTCTCGAGGACATTTGACTCAGCCTTTGTGCCCCCAGCGTGGACTGCTGATACAGAAGGAGCGAGCCAGGGACATCGCCCTCTTTTGCCCTATTTTTTTCTGGCGAGGGTCAGATCACAGATATTCGCTGACTGAGGTTTTCTGGACGAGGCCAACATCGGTCACGGTCACGGTCCTCCTGTTGTTCATCGATTTGCTCGAGCGGGCCCACAGTAACGTCTCCATCATGAGATTCGTTGTTACTGTGTTTGGCATCTTGAATACGTCACGGGGAGCTTGCCAGGCTCTGCCGTGCGGGCGAGATACTCTCGGTTGCTTGCCGGGCTCTCCGAGAGGGGCGGAGGAATCGAACCCGGCTCGGCCGGGCTGGCTGCGCACAAGGCAAACGCCCTACCGCTGTGCTATCGCTCCAGCCCTAGGCCAACATTGAAGCTATTCTAAAAGAAGGTGCAAGTTTCCAGTGAAAAGCAGAGCAGAGTAGTAACCAAGCAACTTATACTACTTGTAGTACAAGGGCAATAGAGACCAAATTCCCTTGATTCAGGATGACCCGTGACTTGGACGCGCTTCAGATATGGAACAGCCTGGAATGAAGCCCGGGTTCTGGATCAAACCGATTCCAGTTTTTTTGTTGTTGTTTGTTTTTTTTTTGCTTTTTGGGTCACACCCAGTGATGCACTGGGGCTCCTCCTGACTCTGCACTCAGGAATCACTCCTGGCAGAGCTCGGGGGACCTTATGGGATGCTGGGAATCGAACCCAAATCGGTCGTGTGCAAGAAAAACACCCTCCCAGATGTGCTAAAGCTCCAGCCCCCCAATGAGTATTTTAAAGGGGGGTCTCCCAGGGCACTGGGGGCTCTAGCTGGGCCCCATCACTTGGGATGCAGTTCACAGTTTTTTGAGGTTGGTTTTGCTCTTGGGTCACACTCGGCGATGTTCAGAGGTTCTTCCTGGCTCTGCACTCAGAAGTTACTCCTGGAGGTGCTCGGGGGACACTATGGGATGCTGGGAATCGAACCCCGGTCAGCCATGTGCCAGGCAAATGCCCTCCCCGCTGTGCTATCACTCTAGCCTCACAGGCGCCAAGGGCCGTCTTGGCCGGTCCCTGATTGGAACACTGAGACAAATGCAGCTGGTTCAGGGGGCCTGGGAGAGTGTCCAAGCAGCAGACCATCAAGCGGCGGGTTCCAGGCCCCGAGACCCCAGCCCTGCCTGGCGGACCCTGAACCTCACGCCATCAGATGCTGTGATTTAACTCACCCTCCTCCTAACTCCTAGTGCTTCCCGAATAGGAAAATACTCGAGTCATCTGTGCTCCAGGATCACTCTGGGCAGGCCTGGGGGGCTGTGAGTGGTGCCAGGATCCAAACCCGCCCGATCAGCTGCACGCCAGGCAGCGCCTTCCCTGCCGTAATGTCCCTCCAGCCCTGTGACTTTCCATTTTAATCTTCTGTTTCCCGAGAAGGGCTTTGGGTTCAGATTCAGAGGCGTGAACAGTTCCTATTTATTTATCGACCCAGGTGCGATTCCCTTTTCTTAAAAGCAGCCATGGCAGCCCACCGTGCCCAGCCCGTGATGTGGGGGGAGGGCTCGGAACAGCGAAGGCTGGGGCCGTCTGGCACCTCCTCAGGGGCCAACACAGGCGCGGGGGCGGGGACAATCGGTGAGCAAGAGGCCCGACAGTGCCATGCAAGTGTGATATGACAAGGGCCGGACCATGGGTCAGAACGTGAGCTGGACCACGGGCCGGGACACCATCCCGACTGCCACGGGCCGGGACACCATCCTGACTGCCCAGTCCTGCAAAGTCCTGCCACGTGCTCTGGAGCTCAGCCCCCCTTCACTTCCCAGGCCCCTGCTGTGACCCTTGGCCCCCAGTGCCCGCGTTGGGTCTCGGCTCGGGGCTTCCCGTCAAGCGCCAGCCGGGTGGTCTGCTGGGCCCGTTGTGTCGGGCCCGCTACCGTCCTCCCCCTCTGCCTCTCGCCCCGACCTGAGCGGCCTCCCAGGTGCCACCCGCCTGCCCCGGCCTCTGGTGCTCGCTCTACTGGAATAACCGGAAGCGGGGAGGTGCCCGCGTGGGGTAGGCCCGGATCTGCGTGGGCGAGGATGACGACAGGGCAGGTGGGGACCGTCTCAAGGAGCAGCTGTGCGTCCCCTGCACCCCCGCAGAGACTCCGGGCCTTTGGGGGTGACCTCACTTGGGAACGGGGTGATGGCGATGAGGCATCAGTGCCAGCACACTGCGGCCGCCCCGGCCCCCGACTCAGAGCCTGGGGTGTGTGGATGGGAGAAACCCGTCACGGGCACAGAAAACAGGGCAGGGCCAGCGGGCAGTGTGAAGCCAGGGAAAGCCCCAGAGCCAGGCGGTTGGGGGGTCCAGGGGGGATGAAACTACACAGCTCAGAGCTTTCAGCTGTGGGCTGGAGCGATAGCACAGCAGAGAGGGCGTTTGCCTGGCACGCACCCGACCCGGGTTCGATTCCCAGCATCCCATAGGGTCCACTGAGCACTGCTAGGAGTGATTCCTGAGTGCAGAGCCAGGAGTCAGCCCTGAGCATCGCCGGGTGTGGCCCAAAAAGCCAAAATAAAAAGAAAAGAAAAGAAAAAGAACTTTCGGCGGCCCCGTGTCCCACCGGCAGCGCCTGGGAGACACAAGGGATGGGACCCAGATGTCCCACGCACCCGAGCTGGCCAGACTGAGCTGCTCTGGGGAGTGGCTCCTGCTATTCCGAGACTGGGGTCGAGAGGGGCCTCTTCTCCCTGCCACCCGTCTGTCCGCCTAAGCCCCGAGGAAGGTCCATTCGCCGGGACCCGCGTCATCTCCAGACGCCAGAAAGCACAGCCGGTGACTCTGCCTGACTCAGTAGCTCCCAGCAGTATTGGGTAAATACAGCCTCATGCCGTGAAATACTTCACTGCATCCCCGAAGGGTCGAAGCAGGAGGGGACCCGAGTCCCTTGGGTTTCCGTGGGCTCCCACCCAACTCAAACGCTCCTTCAAACGGCTCCAGATTTTATGTTTAAGAGGATTGGGGGGCGGGGGGGGGGGGGGAGACCAGAGCGATAGCACAGTGGGGAGGGCGTTGGCCTTGCACCGGGCCGACCCGGGTTCGATCCCCAGCATCCCATAGGGTCCCCTGAGCACCGCCAGGGGTAATTCCTGAGCGCAGAGCCAGGAGTCAGCCCTGAGCATCGCCGGGGGTGACCCAAAAATAGAAAGAAAATAAAAATAAAAAACCCTCAATCGCCCACCGGCCAGAGGGGTAGGGCAGTGGGTGGGGCGCTTGGCTTGCACCCAGACAACCTGAGCCCACCACCCCGCATGCCACATGGTCATATGCCACATGGTCCCCCCAACGCCCCCAAGTCAAGCCGGGTGAAACCCACTCCCCGCCCCCCCCCAAAAAAAAACCCCACCCAAAGCAAACACTCACCTCTGGGCTCTGAACTTTCCAGAGTGGCCATTCTGTCCGCTGACTGAAGACCCCCGTCCACCGACGACCCTGCAAAGGCAGGAACGGGAATGAATGAGCCCAACTCCGGGGGCAGCGCGCAGGGCGCCCCCCACCCCACCCTGCACCTGGCAGACGTGCCCGGGCTCGGGCGCCCCTTCCGTCCCCCCGGGGGGCGGCGGGCAGGGTCGGGTGCTGGACACGGCCCAGGGTCCGTCCACTCGGGAGCTGGACCCCGCTTCGCTCACGCCCCCTGCGACCCCCCGACCCGCCCGGGTGGGAACGGGCAGCGGGACGGGCGTCCCGGCCAGGAGTGACCGGGCCAGCCCCAGCCCCAGCCCGGGTCCGACCCTCCCCGGGCCCCGCGGTACCTCCGGGCCCCGCCGCGCCCCGCCGCTGCCCCGGCGCGCCGCACGCCCACCGCCCCGCACGCCCACTTCCGGCCCAGGCCCGGCTGACGTCACGCGCCCCCGCCGCCCCGGAAGCACTTTGGGTCCCGTTCCGGGTCGCGCTCCCGGAGCCCCCGGGTCGCCGGAAGCGGGGGTGAAAGCGCAGGCAGCCCACGCGGGGCGGCGCGTGGACGCGAGCAGCCCCCACCCGCGGCGCCCGGGGGGCGGACACGCCTCGAACGGGCACAACGCGGGGAAAGAAGCGGGGGAGCCTCGGGCGCGGCGGCCGGGTACCACTTCCGGGTCACGCCGCCGCCCGCAGGGAAGGGGCGGAGGGAAACCCGGAGGGCGGTGTCCTGTCGCCCTGGCAACAGCGTCGAGGGGCGGGGCCTTTTCGGCCGAAGGGGCGGGGCCCGGGAGCGTTTCAGCCACTATGGGAAGAGGGGGCGGGGCTTTTCCGGCCGAGGGGGCGGGGCCCGAGAGCGTTCCAGCCACAATGGGGAGAGGGGGCGGGGCTTTTCCGGCTGGGGGCGGGGCCCGAGAGCGTTCCAGCCACTGAGGGGAGAGGGGGCGGGGCCCTCGCCGCGCGCTCCGGAAGTGGGCGTGGCCCGTTGCCGGAGTAACCTGGAATCTGCGGTTCTGTTGGTGGCAGCGCCTCTTCCCCGGACGTCGCCGCTTCCCGGGACCGGGAGGCCGAAGATGGTGAGTGCCGGGCCCGGGGACCCGGTTCCGCGGCGTCTGATGTCTCGGGGCGTCGCCTGCGCCCCGTTGTCCCTTGGCGGGCGCTGCGGCCCAAACCCCGATCGGGGACCGCACCGAGCAGCCGAGATGCAACAGTTTCAGGGCAACAGTCTCGGGGCCACGGATGCAACAGTGTCAGAGCATCGTTTTGGGACCAGCACTTTTTCTGACTCATTTCCCCCCCCTCCCCCGTCCAATTGAGGCAACGCTGGCTCACAGCAATTATTTTAAGCGCTGATGTTTTGGGGGTCCCGCAGGCGGAGGGCGCCAGCATCCCTGGGTCCCCTTTCACCCCTTCTCCCACTTCCGTGCTGTGGCGGGGGGCGGGGGCGTTTCAAGGGCTTGTTTCCCTCCGGCGTTTTCCGAACCAGCATTGTTTCAGTGTTGGATTTTGTTTGTTGGTCTGCTGTGGGGGCCACAGGCGGCGCTCAGAGCTTGCTCCTGGCCCTGCACGCGGGGATCACTCCTGGCCGGCTTTGGGGGGCGCCCTATGGGATGCCACGTGCGAGACAGGCGCCCTCCCCGCTGTTGCCCACGTGTTACTTTTTGTTTGTTTGTTTCTTTTTGGGTCACTCCTGTCTCTGCACTCGGGAATTACTCCTGGCAGTGCTCAGGGGACCACATGGGATGCTGGGACTCGAACCTGTGTGGGCCCCGTGCAAGGCAAACGTCCTACCCGCTGTGCTATCGCTCCAGCCCTGCCTCCCGGCTCCTGAAGCACCTTCAAGATGTGAAGCAGAGATAGGCAACTGGAGTTTGGTATCAGCACCATAAATACGCTTTAAACTTGCAGCTAGTGGCCAGACCTCACCGGGGTGAACCAGAGAAGGACTACTGGGTCCAGCCTAAAAGCAGTGGGAGGTGTGCCCCTCGGACATAGCTCCTGGACACCCCACTAATTTACCCCATACCACCTCATTATTTACTTTCTTACTCTGTGATCTGGCCACCCCCTCTGCACCCTAAAATCAGAGGAATCGGTTCCGCCCACAAAGCCGAAAAGCCTTTTTGTAGGCGTGAAATACATCTGCTACCTGGGAAAGGAATTCCAAAACCGGGACTGGAGTGATAGCACAGCGGGGAGGGCATTTGCCTTGCACGCGGCCGACCCAGGTTCGATCCCCGGCATCCCATATAGTCCCCTGAGCACCTCCAGGAGTGATTCCTGAGTGCAGAGGCAGGAGTGGCCCCTGAGCATCGCCGGGTGTGACCCAAAAAGCAAAAAAAAAAAAAAAAAAAAGTTATTGCGCATGAATTGGGGAAACTGGGAATAACTGAATTGCCGAAACAGGTTTCAGAAATAAGGGAACCTTAGAAACAAGTTTGGGGAGCCAGGGGGCTAGCTCCAGGGGCTAGAGTCCAGACGGGGCGTGCAGGAGGTCTGAGTTTGCCCCCCTGTGCTGCATGGTCCCCAAACTGCAAGGAGCAACCCCTGAGCTAGGTGTGTCCCCAAACCCAAATCAGCAAAGACGTGTCAGGGCCGGGAGTGTGGCTTGGCGTGCCTTGCATGAGTGAGGATCAATGGGTGCCGGATTCCCCGCCCCTCAAAAACGGCACAAGAAAGATCCACTTTGCCCTCTGTGGTGGTGCGTCCCATTTTGTAATAAGAATTTGCTTTTGATTCATGAAGTTCCTTCTTCCTTCACTTCCAGGATAGATTCATTTCACTGAAGGAGCCGACCAGAGGTCAGGGAATGGGGGCAGCCAGTCGGAAGGATGTCGGAATAGCCTCCAAGTCGAGTTTCCATGCCCCCGACGCTTGTTCAGAAGGCATGTCCTCAAACACACCTCATTTCTGTCTCTCGTGTATTAACGTGCCACGATTCTCCGCTCCGCTAAGGGGATTATCTGGGAACGTTTTCCCACATGACTGGCGTTCCTGAAACTTTGTTTGACTGTGAACGCACATGGTACCCCTCCTTTCTGCTTTTGCTCCTTAAGAACCAGAGATCACGCGGCAGAGATAAAGGAGCGATTTCACAGCCGGGAGAGCGTTTGCCTTGCTCGCGGCCGACCTGGGTTCGGTTCCCAGCATCCCAGAGGGTCCCCCAAGCACTCAAGTAGTTCCTGAGCCAGGAGGAACCCCTGAGCATTGCCGTGTGACTCAGAAAAGCCTAAATAATAATAATAATAACAATAATAATAATTTTTTAAAAACCAGATAAGGCTCCTGGGGGAAATAGGACAATTTCTCCACCTAGCGGCTGGGCTGGGGCGCTTGTTTCTCCGAGCGAGCAGCAGGGGGCGCTGTGCCACCACCAGTCCCAGCCCCAGCCCCACGTGTGTTTGGTGGCGTGTTCAGGGGTTCCTGCCCTCGGTGGCACGTGTCGCCGCCCAGCCAGAAAGCACCGTGTCCCATCCCATGGCCAAGAAGGCAAAGGCGCCGGCCCCACTTGTAACTCGGAGGCAGGCGTCTGTCACCCCCCCACCCCCACCCCAGTGGCCTTTGTCGGACCTAAAAGGCCCAGTGACCTTGCCCGGCCTGGCCTTGGCAGGGGAGCTGGAGGCTGCTCCAGATTAGCTCGGGGTCCAGTCCACCAGCGGATGACCCTTGGATTATGGCCTGGACGGAGGAAGGGAGGAGGCGAGGTTGGCAGAGATAACGGAGGTTATAACAGGGCTGGAACTGCACTGTGATTGGAGTCGTGTGGGGAAGAGGCCCAGGAGAGGCCGGTCTGCAGAGCTTACCAAGCCTCAGACCAGATAAGCGTGTCCGAGAGCGTGGCTAGAGAAATGGGCCAAGGATGGAGTTCTGGGGGCTGGTCACACCCGCAGTGCTCAGGGCTGACCCCGGGCTCTGCACTCAGGATCACTCCTGGCCGGGCTGGCCTGGCCCCTGCATTTAAGGAATTGAGGAAACCCACCCAACTGGGAAAGGAGAGGGGGAAAATGAAAAAAAAAAAAAAAACCAAGCAAACCCATAGTGTAAGTTGCTACCTTAAGAAACCAGAAAAAGCGGGGGGGGGAGACCCTCAAACAAGCAGAAGGACAGAAATCGGGATGAGAGAGGAAACCAATTATTGAAGGAAATTTGAGGGCAAAGACCGTCATTACCCAACCCCCCCCCCCATTGGCTCATTGAAATGAACTGTGTCGGTAGTCGATGTTGATATATGTGGACATCAAATGAACTGGCCTGATAGTTGATGCTGATATGTGTTGACATCAAAGGAACTGTTTTGATAGTTTTATTGAAATGAACTGTGTTGAAATGAACTGTGTTGATAATCAAGCACAAAAACCTTCAACTGGCGCAAACCATCACCGATGGTGGGGGAGCCATCCCTGACCCTACAGCACGAAGGGGGACAGTAGAGGCGCCCCAGAAGCATGCCGTGGGATTTGGCAACTCGGGGGAAATGGGCAGAGAGCTCGGAGATGCAGGGGACCCACAGGGACAAGAAGACAGATCTGGGCCTGGAGCGGTGGGGGGGGGGGAGGGGCGGATCCTGCACGTGGCCGACCTGAGATTAATCCCTGTTGCCCTGAGCCTGCCAGGAGGGACCCCTGAACACAGCCAGGAGTAAGCCCTAAACTAACTGAGTGTGACCCCAAAACTGAAGATTTTAAAAAGGAAATAGAAACTGCATAGAGAGAAAAAACAAGGGGCCTGGAGCAATTGCACAGCAGGGAGGGCGTTTGCCTTGCACGCGGCCAACCCGGGTTCGATTCCCAGCATCCCATAGGGTCCCAGGAGTAATTCCTGAGTGCATGAGCCAGGAGTAAGCCCTGTGCGTCGCCAGGTATGACCCAAAAAGCAGCAAAAACAACAACAACAAAAAACCCACATGAAGAACAAGCGTTGAATCTATAAAGTGGAAATCTTCATACACAGGAAAGTTTGAGCCCACCTAACTGCGCTATCGAATCCCCTGCTTGTTTAAAGGATAAATAACACTGGCCCTGGGCTGGAGAGATGGTCCAGCGAGTAGTGGCCTCATCGGGAGTGATTTCTGAGTGCAGAGTTAGGAGTAAGCCCTGAGCTTCACCAGGTGTGGCCCTCAACCCCGCCCCCCCAAAAAAAACAAAAAGAAACTCAAACAAACAAGAAAATTGAACTGCGCCACCTGAAAAATGAAATTCTCCCCCAAACTAAGGATATTTTTATGTTTTGTTAGAAATTAGGAAATATTCCTAAGGATAGGTCAGCCGTTAAGAGGGCAGAATTATCCAGGGTAGCAAACTGGTATCGGCAGATGGGTCGGCTGCAGATAACCCGCGGGAACTGCACGCCAGGATGCGCCCATGTGGACCGCGAGCGAGAACGTTCTCTTCCCTTTCTTGCAGAGCCACGGCGAGCGATTCGTCTTCATTACGGAGTGGTACGATCCAAACGCCTCGCTCTTCCGACGTTACGAGCTTTTATATTACCCCGGGGATGGATCCCTTGAAATGGTACTGGAGCCTTTGGTTGCTGGAAAGTGGGCAATGGGAGTGAGGGGATGGGGGGTGGCTGGGAGGCGCACAGGAGACTGGCCGGCTGCTGAGGGGCTTTAAAAAAGAGGTACGGGGGGGGGGCTGGAGTGATGGAGTGATAGCACAGCGGGGAGGGCATTTGCCTTGCATGCGGCCGACGTGGGTTCGATTCCCAGCATCCCCTAGGGTCCCCCGAGCACCGCCAGGAGTGATTCCTGAGTGCAGAGCCAGGAGTCGGCCCTGAGCATTGCTGGGTGGGACCCAAAAAGAAAAAAAAAATAAGAGTTACAGGGCAGGACAGGCTGGAGCGATAGCACAGTGGGTAGGGCGTTTGCTTGCATTCGGCCGACCTGGTTGACCTGAGTTCGATTCCTCCGCCCCTCTTGGAGACCCCGGCAAGCTACTGAGAGCATCCCGCCCGCACGGCAAAGCCTGGCAAGCTCCCCGTGACATCTTCGAGATGCCAAACACAGTCACAAGTCTCACAGTGTTACTGGGCCCGCTCAAGCAAATCGATGAACAACGGGAGGACCGTGACCGTGACAGGGCAGGAAAGATGACACAGGCAAAGTGCTGGCCTCTAAGCCTGCTTCAGCCCCCGGGACCCCAAAGGGTCCCCTGAGCACAGAGCGAGGAATAGTCCTGGAGTACCACTGGGTGTGACTGTTAAAAAAAAAAAACAAAACAGCATAAAACTCCCAAAGTCTGAACTCCCAAAGTTGTTTTTCAAGAGGATTCCTGGGATGATTTTTAATTCAATAGAAGGCTCAGTGCCTTTATTTTGAAAGTCAATATTAGGAATTCTTTTTTTCCCTCTTTTTCGGTCACACCCAGCGATGCTCAGGGGTTACTCCTGGTTCTGCACTCAGCAATCATTCCTGGCGGTGCTCGGGGGACCATATGGGATGCCGGGGATCGAACCCAGATCGCAGAGCAAACACCTTACTCGCTGTGCTATCGCTCCGACCCAGGAATTTTTTTTTTTCTGGTAATAAAATCAAAGTGCTGAGCTGGAGCGACAACACAGCGGGGCGGGCGTTTGCCTGGCACGTGGCACCCCAGGTTCGATCCCCAGCATCCCATAGGGTCCCCCGAGCACCACCAGGAGTGATTCCTGAGTGCAGAGCCGGGAGTCAGCCCTGAGCATCACCAGGTGTGGCCCCCAAACCCTCCCCCCAAACAAAAACACGAACGAACAAGAAAATCGAAAGGCTTGACCTGCAAAATAAGATTCACGTTTGGATGGTGCTCTCGTCCGTAGTTTGTCACAAAGATGATCACGGCCTGACATCCGTCACCATTACTGAAAGCTCTTCTCTTTACCAAACATCGAGGGAGCACCCCTGCCCCTGGGCTCCTTCTCTGGGGACCCCTTTCCATCGGCACACGTCCTTCCTGTAGAAGGAAGAAGAGATTTATTTGTTCGTTTTGCTTTGTGGGTCCCACCTGGCGGTGCTCAGGGGTTGCTCCTGGCTCTGCACTCAGGACTCACTCCTGGCGGTGCTCAGGGAACCTTATGGGATGCCGGGGATCGAACCCGGGTCGGCCGCGTGCAAGGCAAATGCCCTCCCCGCTGTGCTATCGCTCCAGTGCTCACTGCAGAAGCAGAGATTGAGGGTTTCTGGGATTCGGGTATGCGACCGTTTGTCAGGATGGGCAAGAAATCTTTCTGTTCAGGCTGGTTTGGGCTTTTGATCTTCACCTCAAAGGACTGAGTCAGTAGTGAGCCGTTTCACAGCTTCCTGGCGTGGGTGGGGAAACAGAGGCCAGCGTCGGAAGGGGTCGGGCTGGGACTCTAGCGCTGGCGGGTGACGCTCTTTCCGCCGTGAATTCGGTTCCAGCACGACGTCAAGAACCACCGCACCTTCCTCAAGCGCACCAAGTACGACGGCCTCCGCCTGGAGGACTTGTTCCTCGGCAACAAAGTGAACGTCTTCTCCCGCCAGCTCACGCTGCTTGACTACGGGGACCAGTACACGGCCCGGCAGCTGGGCAGCAGGAAGGAGAAGTGAGGACCTTGGCCGGCCGCGGGCACGCTCGCTCTCGCCCTCCCTCCCTCCCGCCCGCCTCCCCCTTTCTTTCTTCTTCTTCTTCCTCCTCCTCCTTTTCTTCTTCCTCCTCTTCCTCCTCCTCCTCCTCCTCCTCCTCTTCTTCTTCTTCTTCTTCTTCTTCTTCTTCTTCCTCCTCCTCCTCCTCCTCCTCCTCTTCTTCTTCTTCTTCTTCTTCTTCTTCTTCTTCTTCTTCCTCCTCCTCCTCCTCCTCCTCCTCTTCCTCCTCCTCCTCTTCTTCTAATTCTCCTCCTCCTCCTCCTCCTCCTGCTCTTCCTCCTCCTCCTCCTCCTCTTTCTCTTCTTCCTCCTCCTCGTCCTCCTCCTCTTTCTCTTCTTCCTCCTCTCTTTCTCTTCTTCCTCCTCCTCTTCCTCCTCCTCCTCCTCCTCCTCTTTCTCTTCCTCCTCCTCTTTCTCTTCTTCCTCCTCCTCCTCCTCCTCCTCTTTCTCTTCTTCCTCCTCCTCCTCCTCCTCCTCTTCTTCTTCTTCTTCTTCTTCTTCTTCTTCTTCTTCTTCTTCTTTTCCTCCTCCTCCTCCTCCTCCTCCTCCTCCTCTTTCTCTTCTTCCTCCTCCTCCTCCTCCTCCTCCTTCCCCCTCCTGCCCCCCACTCAGGGCTGTGCTGTTTGGGTGCTGCCCCGGCTCCCTCGGGAGCGCCTTCCACCCTCGCCCTGCCTGCCTGAGTCACCCCGCTGTCCCCTTCTCTCTCTCCTGCTGACTTTCCGTTCCTGATGGACTCACACTTTTGTTTTGCTGTTTGGCTTGGGGGGGTCACCCGTGGCGACGGTCACTCAGGGCTGACTCCTGGCGGTGCTCGGGGGACCCTCTGGGATGGCGGGTTCAGACCCGGGTGGGCCGTGGTGTGGACTCGGTTTCATACCCCGTTTCAGGGGGGACTCCTGTCCTCGGGGGGGAAACTTGCTGGTTTATAGTGAGGCACGGCTGACGCCTGGACAAGGAGATGTGACATCACTGCACCTCAAAGATGTCCCTGGGGCTGGAGCGATAGCACAGCGGGGAGGGCGTTTGCCTGGCACGTGCCCAACCCGGGTTCAATCCCCGGCATCCCCTAGGGTCCCCCGAGCACCGCCAGGAGTGATTCCTGAGTGCAGAGCCGGGAGGAACCTCAGAGCATCACCAGATGTGACCCAAAAAGCAAAAAAAAAAAAGATGTCCCTAACGTCTGGCCCCCAAATCTGTATTTCCTCGCCCTGGCGGGGTGCCCAGTTTGATTTTCTTGGGAAGAAAGCAGTGAACTCTCGGGTGGGGTTTGGCAGGGCCTGGCGGCCTTATCACTGTCACCCGCGTTGCGGCCAATGGCCCATGCAGGAACCTCGTGACCAGCGTTCTCCCCCCACCCCCCTCAGTTTTCCGTTTTCCCTCTCTCAACAGGACCCTGGCCCTGATCAAGCCCGACGCCGTCGCCAAGGCTGGGGAGATCATCGAAGCCATCCACAATGCCGGGTTCACCATCACGAAACTCAAAATGATGACGCTGTCCAGGTAACGACGGGCCTGGACGTCCCCTCCCCTACCTAAACGCACCTGTCAGAGCCCCCTCCCAGGCCCCAGGTGACAGGGGGCGGGCAGGGGGAACTGGCCCAGCTCTGCCCTCTGGGGTTCCGGGCGCAGCGACTGCAGTGGTCACCCCTTTGGCGCCCGCATGGAGCAGAGGGAATGAATGACGCTTCTCTGAGCGAGGCAGGGGGACACCAGAGAGATGCGGGTGCATCTGCCTGGCCCCTCCCACTGATGTCACTGGTCACTTAGCCCTTCCCTCTGGCATCGCTGGTCACCTCGGGCCCACCACACCTGGCAGCGTTGGTAGTTGGTTCCTCCCAGCTGGCATGATTGGTCACTTAGTGTCCCACTGACGTCATGGGTCACTTAGGCCCCCAGTGACGTCATTGATGGTGTGGCACCATGCTGTCACGTGACATGGTTGGCCCCTTGGCCCTTCCCTCCCACTCCTCCCTTGGTCACGTAGCTCCTCCCTCTGGCGCCACTAGTAATGGTAACTTAGGCCCGCCTCCTCCGCTGACGTCATTGATCGTGTAGTTCCAACTGACGAGGTCACTTAGCCCCCCCACTGACATCATCGGTCACTTAGGGCCCCCCCCCCACTGATGTCACTGGCAAGGGCCTCGAGCCTGGTGACGGAGCAGGAGCGGGCTGTGCTTGGTGAGGGGGCCCGCGTATGGGGCCGGCCCCTGGGCTCAGCCCCCAGCCCGAGCACAGAGAACAGAACAGAAGCAGAAACTCCAGCTCAGAAAGCACCATTGCCCGTGGCCAACCCGGGTTCGATCCCCGACGTCCCATGGGGTCCGGCCAAGAGTGATTCCTGAGTGCAGAGCCAGGAGTCAGCCCTGAGCATCGCTGAATGAGATCCACAAACAAGCAAAAAACCTTAATGTTTAATAATCTAAGAGATTGAACTGGGCTGGAGCGACAGCACAGCAGGGAGGGCGTTTGCCTCGCACGCGGCTGACCCGGGTTCGATTCCCGGCATCCCATAGGGTCCCCCGAGCACTGCCAGGAGGAATTCCTGAGTGCAGAGCCAGAAGAAACCCCTGAGCATCGCCAGGTGTGACCCAGAAAGCCAAAATAATAATGATGATAATAACAATAATAATACATAATAAATAAAATAGTCCCAGCTCTGGAAAGGGGAGGGGGTTGGCTGCTGGTCGGATGTATTGAGAGAATGTAGCCTGGGACTGGAGCCAGTGCCGCCCCAGTACCCCCAGCCCCCCACCACAGAGCATGGAGGGGCAGCTCGGGGCTGGGCTAGGGCCCAGGAGTGAAATGGTTCCGGAGACGAGGGGTGAGGGAGACAGTTGTGGGCGTCAGTGGGGGGGTGGCCCTTTCTCATCCTGGGTTTCTATCACCATGACGACCGTGGTGCTGGGCGGGAACACGACTTACTGGGATGTTTTGCGACAGACACAAAAATCACAATTTCCACCCTACGCTTAGGTGTATGTTCACTGCATCTCGGTCAGAGGGGCGGAAGGCTGCGGTCAGTGCTAATGGTTTCTAGAATGTTTCCAAGATGGTGGCGGGTCCATGGAGACCAAAGCAAATACTCTCTCTGTGTTTTTAATTTTGCATCTTGACATATTCTGGCCAGAAGGGGGTAAAAAAAAACACCTTGAAATGGGGACTTCGGGGGAGAACACAGGTGACACTCACTGGAGATGCAGAGCGGTCCACGGCTTCACATCTCAGCCACGGTCATCCATTCCTCCCGTGATTTTGACCTCTGCCGTTCTCCTTCTGACAGGAAGGAAGCAACAGATTTTCATGCCGACCACCAGTCGAAGCCCCTGTACAAGTAGGTGCTGAGTTCGGGGCTGAGGGAGACCGGGGGAGGGGGGTGGGGGGTGTTTTTGAGAGCTGGAGTCAGAGCTTGTCCCGCCCGCAGGAAGGGGCCACCACGCCGGCCACCATAGGGCCTTTTTCTCTTTTATTCAATAAAAATTCTTTTCTTCTTTTTTTTTTGGCTTTTGCTTTTTGGGTCACACCCAGCGATGCCCAGGAGTTCCTCCTGCCCCTGCACTCAGGACTCGCTCCTGGCGGTGCTCGGGGGACCCTGTGGGATGCCGGGGATCGAACCCGGGTCGGCTGCTTGCACAGCCAATGCCCTCCAGGCTGTGCTATCGCTCCAGCCTTCATAAGAATCCTTATCCGTTTAGACCCCCCTTGTGGCCTGGCCGGTTCCAGTTGCAGGCTTGCAGCTGCCTTTATTTCAGGAGATAAAAGCGAAGGCCATGACATTTGATGCGGATTAATTTGTGTGTGTGCTTTTATTTTTATTTATTTTTATTTTTTTTTTTATTGAATCACCGTGAAATGGACCCTCCCAAAGCTGTTCATGATCAGGTTTCAGTCCTACAGTGCTCCAACCCCCGTCCGTCCACCAGGGCACATTTCCCAGCACCAGGGTCCCCAGGTTCCCTCCCATCACCCCCACCCCAGCCTGCCTCTATGGCCGAGGCTTTTCTTCTCTCTCTGTCTCTATCTCTCTCCTCCCTCTCTGTCTCTCTTCTCTCTTTTTTCTCCCTTTCTGAGTCTCCCTCTCTGTCTCTCTGTCTCCCTCTCTCCCTCTCTCTCTCTCTGTCTCTCCCTCTCTGTCTCTCCCTGTCTCTCTCTCTCTCCCTCTCTGTCTCTCTCCCTCTCTGTCTCTCCCTCTCTGTCTCTCTCTCTGTCTCTCTCTCCCCCTCTCTCTCTCCCCCTCTCTCTCTCCCTCTCTGTCTCTCTCTCCTCCTCCCTCTCTGTCTCTCTCTCTCTCTCTCTCTCTCTCTCCCTCTCTGTCTCTCTCTGTCTCTCCCTCTCTGTCTCTCCCTGTCTCTCTCTCTCTCCCTCTCTGTCTCTCTCCCTCTCTGTCTCTCTCCCTCTCTGTCTCTCTCCCTCTCTGTCTCTCCCTCTCTGTCTCTCTCCCTCCCTCTCTGTCTCTGTCTCTCCCTCTCTGTCTCTCTCTCTCTCTCTGTCTCTGTCTCTCTGTCTCTCCCCCCACCCCACTCCTTTTGGGCATTGTGGTTTGCAATATCGATACTGCAGGTTTATCATGTCTGTCCCTTTGCCTCCTTTGAACACTCAGTTCTCGTCCCGCGTGGTCCCTCCCACTCTTACTGTCACCCTGGTCCCTTCTGTGTCCACCCGCCCTCCGCCGTGAGTGCTTGTCACTCGGACTCCTGGCGTGGCCCGAGACCCACTTTGCTCGCCCTGACGGCGGCCTCGGCGCGCGCCCCGGCCTCCTGTGACCGCCCGTGAGAGAAACGGGTCCGGGCGGGTCTCGCCGAGGAGGGTCGTGACGGGCCCTTTGCTGGTCTGTTCTCCCCGGCCTTGCTCCTTCCCTTTTTTTGCCAAGCGAGACAATTATTGCTCGAGTGGTTTAAAGCGAGCGCGATGAAATATTCATTCCCCAGCCATGTGAGGGCAGATCGTTGGAGCCTGGGGCAGGAGGGGGGTGGGGGGGCCACGGGCTGGCGCCTGGTGAGGCCCCAGCAAAGCCTCGTCCAGTCCCAAGCCAGCGCCCCCGAAGGGCCGCGTCTCACCCGCCCGCCCGCCGGGCCCCTCCTGCCGTCTCTGGACGCTGCTGGACACTGGACACGGGGGACCAGAGGCATCCCAAAGGCAGGGGCTTGTCTTGCTGCCTCCATCACGTGCCTGGTAGGGAGCAATTAGCGCCTGGCAGAGGGCGGGAACGACAACACGGCGGGGAGAGCTCTGGCCTGGCACACAGCCGACCGGGTTCGAGTCCCAGCATCCCATAGGGTCCCCCCAGCACCACCAGGAGTGATTCCTGAGTGCAGAGCCAGGAGTCAGCCCAGAGCATCGCCGGGTAGGACCCAAAAGTGACCCAAAAAAATTACAAATCAAGCCGGAGCACAGCCCAACAGGGAGGGCACTGGCCTTGCACGCAGCCAACCCGGGTTTGAACCCCCGGCTTTCCATAGTGTCCCCCAAGCACTGCCAGGAGTCAGCCCTGGGCATCACCAGGTGTGACCCCCCCCAAAAAAACAAAGAAGAGTCAGTGTGCCCTGGGGGTGTCTGGAGGCCTGTTCCGTCAGACCACCCACTCCGCACTGTGGGGTCCCTCCCCAGTGAGTTCCAGCTGCACGTCTGCTCTGAGGCTGACTCTCGGCACTGCATCTTACGGGTGGTCTGACCTTGGGTGTGAAAGCTGGAAACTGGGAGCAGCAGTGGGGGGTACACTGGGCGGGCGCTGGGGTCGCTCCTGATCCCAGCAAGCGGGGTTCTTCCCCGCAGGACCCGGTTAGCAGTCAGCAGTAGGGTTTGCAGGGGCTCTGGCCACAGTGAGCTCCCCAGCTTGTGCAGTCCCTATCATGTTCCCAGCTTGTGCAGTTCCTGTCGTGTCCCCAGCTTGTGCAGTTCTTGTCCTGCCCACGTGAAATCCCCTCCCTTCTGCCAGCAGCCCCCAGGGCCCATGAGCAAACTCGTCCCCAAGGTGCTCCTGCTGGGTTCTGCCCCAGGTGCCCTGGGCTGGCCGCGCCCTGACGCCTCCCCGTCTGTCCCCTGTCCCCAGCGAGCTGGTTCAGTTCATCTCCAGCGGGCCCGTGGTCGCCATGGAGCTCCTCAGGGATGATGCCATCTGTGAGTGGAAGCGGCTTCTGGGCCCCGCGTACCCCGAGGCGGCCCGGACTGAGGCCCCGGGCTGCATCCGGGCCTTGTACGGGACGGACGCCATCCGGAACGCTGCACACGGCCCCGACTCCTTCGCCTCTGCCGCCAGAGTAAGGCATGCTTACTGGGGGGTGGGGGCACACCCGGCGACGCCCGGATCCTCTTGGCTCCGCTCTGAATCACTATGGGAGGCTGGGGATCGAACCCGAGTCGGCCGCTTGCAAGGCCACATGCCCTCCCCGCTAGGCTACGCTCTGGCCTGTTTAGTATTCTTTCTCTCTCTCTCTCTCTCTCTCTCTCTCTCTTTCTCTCTTTCTTTCTTTCTTTCTTTCTTTCTTTCTTTCTTTTTGCTTTTTGGGTCCCACCCGGCGATGCTCAGGGCTGACTCCTGGCTCTGCACTCAGGAATCACTCCTGGCGGTGCTCAGGGGACCCTAGGGGATGCCGGGGATCGAACCCGGGTCAGCCACATGCAAGGCAAATGCCCTCCCCGCTGTGCTATCACTCTGACCCCTGGAACCCCAAATAGGGTTGTTTGTTTCAGTTTCTTTTTGCTTTTTTGGGTCCCACCCAGTGATGATCAGGGGTCCCTCCCGGCCCTGCACTCAGGAACCACTCCTGGCGGTGCTGGGGGGACCCTATGGGATGCTGGGAATCGAACCCGGGTCGGCCGCGTGCCAGACAAACGCCCTCCCCGCTGTGCTCTCGCTCGACCTGGCCTCCGCTGTCTGTGCTCTCGGGAGAGGATTGTCCTGGGGGGAGTGTGGGGGTTGGGGGGTGTCGGTTTCTGCCGTGTTGGATTCTCAGAACTTCCCTGGGACGCGCTGAATGCGGGCGAGTATTTCCGCCAGACGAGCGGATCCCCCTAGGCGGGTCGCTAGGCTCCGGCTCCCCTTAGCCGACGACCGTCTGTGTCCACAGCGTCGTCGTTACCAGCCGCGGCCGGGGAGGCGGCAGGAAGGGGGGAACACCAGCCGCCTCCTTTTTTTTTTTCTCTTTTCTCAAACTGCTTCCTCGCCCGAGCGTGCTCGGCCCCCGAGCAGTTCCGGGCACCTGGGTCCCTGGTCCAGCTGTGGCCGGGCTCCCCGGGAGCGGGGCGTCGCCTGGGCCGATGGCAGGGGGCCCGAGGCGGCCGGGAGGGTCTGTCCTGAGCACCGGAACACGAGCCTGGGCTTCAGTGGCAGAGCCCTTGCGCCAAGGGACCAGCCGGCTGCGTGTGCGATCGCGCCTTCAGGCGGTTTCGGGATCCCCCCTCCCGCCCTCCCTCCCCCCACCCCCTTTGTCCGTAGCAGCGTCCCTGGGTCGGTTCCCTGACGGCCACTGAGTGTTGTTGGTGGTTGGGGGCGTGGCGCGGTGGTTGAGCGGGGAGGGCGCCGGCCGCACACGCCGCTAACCCCGGTTGCGTCCCCAGCATCCCACATGGAGTCTGGAGTCAGCCCCGAGCACAGAGCCGGGAGTCAGCCCTGGGCAGAGCCGGGAGTTAGCCCCGGGCACAGAGTCAGGAGGGGCCCCGGGCACAGAGTCGGGAGTCAGCCCCGAGCACAGAGTCAGGAGGGGCCCCGGGCACAGAGCCGGGAGTCAGCCCCGGGCACAGAGTCAGGAGGGGCCCCGGGCACAGAGCCGGGAGTCAGCCCCGGGCACAGAGTCAGGAGGGGCCCCGGGCACAGAGCCGGGAGTCAGCCCCGAGCAGAGCCGGGAGTCAGCCCCGGGCACAGGGCCGGGAGTCAGCCCCGGGCACAGGGCCGGGAGTCAGCCCCGGGCACAGAGTCAGGAGGGGCCCCGGGCACAGAGCCGGGAGTCAGCCCCGGGCACAGAGTCAGGAGGGGCCCCGGGCACAGAGCCGGGAGTCAGCCCCGGGCACAGAGTCAGGAGGGGCCCCGGGCACAGAGCCGGGAGTCAGCCCCGGGCACAGAGTCAGGAGGGGCCCCGGGCACAGAGCCGGGAGTCAGCCCCGAGCAGAGCCGGGAGTCAGCCCCGGGCACAGGGCCGGGAGTCAGCCCCGGGCACAGGGCCGGGAGTCAGCCCCGGGCACAGAGTCAGGAGGGGCCCCGGGCACAGAGCCGGGAGTCAGCCCCGGGCACAGAGTCAGGAGGGGCCCCGGGCACAGAGCCGGGAGTCAGCCCCGGGCACAGAGTCAGGAGGGGCCCTGGGCACAGAGCCGGGAGTCAGCCCCGAGCACAGAGTCGGGAGTCAGCCCCGAGCGCAGAACCTGGTTGATCTTTGAGCACAGAACCTGGAGTCAGTCCTGAGCACAGAACCTTTTTGATCTTTGAGCACCGAATCGTGAGTCAGACCTGAGCACAAAACCTGTTTGATCTTTGAGCACCGAATCGTGAGTGAGACCTGAGCACAGAACCTGGTTGATCTTTGAGCACAGAGCCGGGAGTCAGCCCAGAGCACAGAGCCGGGAGTCAGGCCCGGGCACAGAGCCGGGAGTCATCCCTGGGCACAGAGCCGGGAGTCAGCCCTGGGCACAGAGTCGGGAGGGGCCCCGAGCACAGAGCCGGGAGTCAGCCCCGGGCACAGAGTTGGGAGGGGCCCTGGGCACAGTGTTGGGAGTCAGCCCTGAGCACAGAGTCGGGAGTCAGCCCCGAGCACAGAACCTGGTTGATCTTTGAGCACAGAACCTGGAGTCAGTCCTGAGCACAGAACCGTTTTGATCTTTGAGCACCGAATCGTGAGTCAGACCTGAGCAAAAAAACCTGTTTGATCTTTGAGCACCGAATCGTGAGTGAGACCTGAGCACAGAACCTGGTTGATCTTTGAGCACAGAGTCGGGAGTCAGCCCAGAGCACAGAGCCGGGAGTCAGCCCCGGGCACAGGGCCAGGAGTCAGGCCCGGGCACAGAGCCGGGAGTCAGCCCTGGGCACAGAGTCGGGAGGGGCCCCGAGCACAGAGCCGGGAGTCAGCCCCGGGCACAGAGTTGGGAGTTGGCCCCGGGCACAGAGCCGGGAGGGTCCCGAGCACAGAGTTGGGAGTCAGCCCTGGGCACAGAGTCGGGAGTCAGCCCTGAGCACATAACCTGGTTGATCTTTGAGCACAGAACCTGGAGTCAGTCCTGAGCACAGAACCTTTTTGATCTTTGAGCACCGAATCGTGAGTCAGACCTGAGCAAAAAAACCTGTTTGATCTTTGAGCACCGAATCGTGAGCGAGACCTGAGCACAGAACCTGGTTGATCTTTGAGCACAGAGTCGGGAGTCAGCCCAGAGCACAGAGCCGGGAGTCAGCCCCGGGCACAGGGCCAGGAGTCAGGCCCGGGCACAGAGCCGGGAGTCAGCCCTGGGCACAGAGTCGGGAGGGGCCCCGAGCACAGAGCCGGGAGTCAGCCCCGGGCACAGAGTTGGGAGTTGGCCCCGGGCACAGAGCCGGGAGGGTCCCGAGCACAGAGTTGGGAGTCAGCCCTGGGCACAGAGTTGGGAGTCAGCCCTGAGCACATAACCTGGTTGATCTTTGAGCACAGAACCTGGAGTCAGTCCTGAGCACAGAACCATTTTGATCTTTGAGCACCGAATCGTGAGTCAGACCTGAGCAAAAAAACCTGTTTGATCTTTGAGCACCGAATCGTGAGTGAGACCTGAGCACAGAACCTGGTTGATCTTTGAGCACAGAGTCGGGAGTCAGCCCAGAGCACAGAGCCGGGAGTCAGCCCTGGGCACAGGGACAGGAGTCAGCCCCGGGCACAGAGCCGGGAGGGGCCCCGAGCACAGAGCCGGGAGTCAGGCCCAGGCACAGAGCCGGGAGGGTCCCGAGCACAGAGCTGGGAGTCAGCCCTGGGCACAGAGTCGGGAGTCAGCCCTGAGCACAGAACCTGGTTGATCTTTGAGCACAGAACCTGGAGTCAGTCCTGAGCACAGAACCTTTTTGATCTTTGAGCACCGAATCGTGAGTCAGACCTGAGCAAAAAAACCTGTTTGATCTTTGAGCACCGAATCGTGAGTGAGACCTGAGCACAGAACCTGGTTGATCTTTGAGCACAGAGTCGGGAGTCAGCCCAGAGCACAGAGCCGGGAGTCAGCCCCGGGCACAGGGCCAGGAGTCAGGCCCGGGCACAGAGCCGGGAGTCAGCCCTGGGCACAGAGTCGGGAGGGGCCCCGAGCACAGAGCCGGGAGTCAGCCCCGGGCACAGAGTTGGGAGTTGGCCCCGGGCACAGAGCCGGGAGGGTCCCGAGCACAGAGTTGGGAGTCAGCCCTGGGCACAGAGTCGGGAGTCAGCCCCGAGCACAGAACCTGGTTGATCTTTGAGCACAGAACCTGGAGTCAGTCCTGAGCACAGAACCTTTTTGATCTTTGAGCACCGAATCGTGAGTCATACCTGAGCAAAAAAACCTGTTTGATCTTTGAGCACCGAATCGTGAGTGAGATCTGAGCACAGAACCTGGTTGATCTTTGAGCACAGAGCCGGGAGTCAGCCCAGAGCACAGAGCCGGGAGTCAGGCCCGGGCACAGGGCCGGGAGTCAGCCCTGGGCACAGAGTCGGGAGGGGCCCCGAGCACAGAGCTGGGAGTCAGCCCTGGGCACAGAGCTGGGAGTCAGCCCCGGGCACAGAGCCGGGAGTCAGCCCCGGGCACAGAGCCGGGAGGGTCCCGAGCACAGAGCTGGGAGTCAGCCCTGGGCACAGAGCTGGGAGTCAGCCCTGAGCACAGAGTCGGGAGTCAGCCCTGAGCACATAACCTGGTTGTTCTTTGAGCACAGAACCTGGAGTCAGTCCTGAGCACAGAACCGTTTTGATCTTTGAGCACCGAATCGTGAGTCAGACCTGAGCACAAAACCTGTTTGATCTTTGAGCACCGAATCGTGAGTGAGACCTGAGCACAGAACCTGGTTGATCTTTGAGCACAGAGCCGGGAGTCAGCCCTGGGCACAGGGCCGGGAGTCAGGCCCAGGCACAGAGCCGGGAGTCAGCCCTGGGCACAGAGTCGGGAGGGGCCCCGAGCACAGAGCCGGGAGTCAGCCCCGGGCACAGAGTCGGGAGGGGCCCCGAGCACAGAGCCAGGAGTCAGCCCCGGGCACAGAGTTGGGAGTCAGCCCTGGGCACAGAGTTGGGAAGGGCCCTGGGCACAGTTTTGGGAGTCAGCCCTGAGCACAGAGTCGGGAGTCAGCCCCGAGCAC